TATGCTGGTATGGTTACCGCTGTGGATGAAGCTATTGGTAACGTAACAGATGCAATGAAAAAGAAAGGGTAAGGRGATAAATTGTGTCTTTTGATTTCTTTTCGTTGGTATTGATACTTACAGGGAAGCGCGAGATATTACTGCATATTTTAAGTCATTTTCCGCACTTCATTTGGTTTTGTTTTAATAAATCAAAATGATGAATCTGATACCTCTATTCAAGGATTTGGGATGACACGTTGATGGTGTTCACGACAGATAATGGAGGCAGACCCATATATGGAGGATATAACTGGCCTTTACGCGGAATGAAACTGACACTCTGGGAGGGAGGAGTTCGTGGTGTGGGTTTCGTCCATGGATCAATGATTGAAAAGAAGCCCCGTAAATGTAATGAACTCTTACACGTGACTGATTGGTTTCCCACTCTTTCAGCGATTGCAGGTTTGCTTCAAATCTCTCTCTTGTAATTAAATCGGGAACCCTGTGGACTGTTTTAAGTTTAGGCTTTCTTTGACTAATATATACCTTACTGAAACAAAAACGATGGCCGGTTGTTCAAAAGAATATCCGTGCATCTTTGTATACGTCTTCCCTCGATCTATACTCTGATAAGATCACAATCGGAACACAATTACAACTGCAACTGCAATTATACTGACCTAGACCAGCGGTTCAGCGCATGCTCCTACAATCTTCCCTCTTGTTTTTGCTATCTTCAATTTTTTGATGTTGTTATGGCTTGCTTTCTACGTAGGGTTCGATGAGTTCGACCAAAACATCGATGGTTTCAATATGTGGGATACGATATCAAAAGGCGCTGCGTCCCCAAGAACAGAGATCCTGCACAATATAGACGTCAATGATTCTAGCGTTCCTCTATGTCAGGGCATTGCTCTACGATCAGGAAACATGAAGTTGATTATGCAAGTAATGGACTTACCCTGGTTCAAACCTCCCGAGCTTGGGAAAAGTGGCCGAGCAGATAGTGATAAATCCAATGAGGTAAAGAGGTGATTTCACCTGTATTTCTTTCTCATGATCTTGACTAGACAGAAGGAACTTGCAAATTTGCGAGTAATCCCCGGCTTTGTGCTTGTCTCAGTTATCATATAGCAAGGTTTCAGTGACAACCATGATTGGTCGAAATTATAGCTGCCCCGATTTCCGTGTGGATTGGGAGTCCTTTTTTGAGCAAATTTTTAAAGGCAGTTTGTTTTTCTTTGCGTACGATACCTGATTTCCYATACTTTTAATATATTTTTCCGACTTCAATGTTGAAGAAACTATATCCATATTTCGCCTCAATTCTAAATCTATCAATCACAAAATTGCGCAATGCATTACTTTTTAACTTTTAGGATATAAAAGTTCACTTAAAATCTCTCTCTTTTAGGAATTTGTCATTAAAGAAGCATTGTTTAACATCACTGCTGATCCAGAAGAACGAAATGACTTAAGTGCTAAGCTCCCGGATGTCCTTGCTAGGATGAAGGCTCGCGTAGATTTTTACAAGAAAGGTATGGTCCCAAAGAGGAATCAGCCTGAGGACCCAGACGCTGAAATCACGGCTAAACGGAACGGTGCATGGACTCCGTGGCGTGGTTCAATAGGCCACTGATGTTTTATCCTCACCAGTTACTAAGGTGGTTTCAGAGATTTCCCTGGATGAATTAATATAACTCGTTAATTTAGACATCTATGTCTTTAATTTAAGAGAAATTATTGCACTTCAGTGCTGCGGTAGTTCAATGTCTGAACCTTATTGTATAAAGAAATCAATACATTAAAAAGTTCTTCACTCCATCCTTCGTTCTTTTCTTCTTTTCATCTTTCGTTCACTCACTCGTACTTCATTTTTTCCTACTGTTCTACCCATCCAKGGGCGGATTCAAGATTTTATTCATCAGGGAGGGGTGCGGGACTCTCAATAGTGGTTGCACCCCCACAAAAATCCTTACCGTGAAGATACAAAATAAGGAAAGTATTGAATGATACAGATCGATCTCACAGAGAAGRTGCGCACTCTGTGCACCTACCAGCTGGATCCACCCCTACCTTCTAATGTTGAATATTCTAATATGTTATATGTTCCCATTGTATTTTTGTCATCTAGTTTATGCAAATGACTAAGTAACAATAGAATAACATCAAAACACATTCAATAMTCCTTCATGATAAACAAAAACACAGGAAGCCATCGGAAGCGAACGGCAGAACATATAACTTTAGTACGTGCGACCRCCGAAATTTCTCGTAACCAATGTGAATCAATCATCATTGCGGATTTACGAACACGTTGTGAAAGTTAACGACGTACTTTTGCTTTGGTGAATATACTTTRCCTTAGTTGTTCTTTACTACCGATATTCGGTGTAATGAAAAGTTCTCATCTATTAGTATTCTAAAAGTTTTAGGTCTTTCTTTTAGGCACATGYGCTCATTGAGCGCCTTTATTTCTTTCCGCGGCAATTGCTGGATATGCTCTGCATACTCATTTTAATTTCTCTTTATAGACCTCTGAACCTTTTATATATCACTACTTGATTTTTAAATGCATTACGGGATTAGTTAACAAAAGAATCCGCCATATTCTGTCACAACACATCCTACAATGCATTGCGTATACGGTACATGACGTAAAAGCATCAGAGGTCTATTCATATTCGTTTGAACAACACCAACCCTACATACATTTATCTTTTCCTCTGTACTTGAAAGTCTAGGTCTCCGTTGGTGCCCGTGTTGATAGAGCTGGAATTTCGGCTTAGAATCGCGCCGTAGCACAGGATCCAACTGAAGTTTGCGGGTGTAGGATACTTGCAGTAACGGGTAATTGCCAGAATTAATACTAGTATCCATGGAGTTAAAAATACACTTTTTTTAAGATCTTCTTAAAATATACCAATATTAAACGCTACATATGAAATTCTTCGAATAAAGCGTTAAAATAACTTCTTTTTTTATATAAACTGTTTTGGTTTGAATTGTTGTGGTATTTCTGACTTTCTTTTTCGGCGTGTCACGCAATGTAAATATACCGGTACTGTCATATAGTGACTGTGCTGCAAAAAAAACTGGGACGACAATATCCATGTACCTGGATGAAATTGAATCGGAATTAAGTCTTTCATTTCTGGGTTTTATTTATMAATATCAACTTTAAATCATTCATTGTTCATTCATAGTTTTCATGCCATTATTAGTCATGTTGGAACGATTGATAAATTTTCCCCAACCTTCTCTTTCCACCTATTAACTCACCGTTCCCCTATTAGGAACTTGTTGACACCTTTGAAAGGTCAATTGTTCATCTCGTGATAGACTTATTATTTGCACATTCTTTAATATGAAGAAGCCTAAGATTTTCGCCATCGTCTTCCTAATAACAGCCTTTGCAARCTGTCAATCCAAGCAACTGAAGCAACCACACATTCTTCTTGTTGTGGTTGATGACCTTGGTTGGAGTGATGTCGGATACCAAAACATTTCCCCAATCAAAACTCCAAACATCGATAAACTAGCATCGGAGGGAGTGATACTGGATAATTACTATGTCCAGCATATATGTACACCTACTAGGAGCGCTTTGATGACCGGCAAATACCCTATACATACTGGTAAGTCAAGCACTCGGATTCTATATTCATTGCAAAGTCACATATTTCTTGACAATCGTTGACGTRACGCGGTTTTGACCACCATTTTGTTTGTGGGTAAAGCCTCGCACAAGATAAAAAGGATACAGTGTGAATTCGATGTCAAATAACTCCAGTTGAATTCCTATGATGAAAGAATTATTAATTTCAAACATTAGATTCTACGAAAAGGTGTTAGTTGATTAGTTAGTTAGTTAGTTACGGTGAAACTATGAACCATATGGGTAATTGAAATGTTTATTTATCAACTCATACTGCCCAATAAAGAAGGTAGAATAATCTGCTGTCTTTAGGCATGCAACATGGCGTCATCAAACCACCAGATCCTTACGGTCTGCCCCTAGACCTATCTCTACTTCCACAAAACCTGAAGAAAGCTGGTAAGTTAGGCATCCATTGCACCGTGACTCTCAACATCGATCATTGCAAGTTTGCATTGAAGAAAACTAATGCAACGACAAATAGTATATATGTATTGTATATGTATAAAGGTTGTTAAGTTAATGGAAATATGATGTAAACTCAATCTATAATAATTACCACGGTTGTAAGTATCATGTAAGTATCGTGTAAATTTGGATTTTAAATTACATAATATTTACATTAAAATAAYTTCGTTTGTAAAAAGTGTGCAAATGTGATTTATATCAAATTTACAATGTATGTAAAACGTGTGTATATGTGATGGTAAATATTATGTAAGTATCCAAAATCATGTAAATAGAACGGATTTCGTATGAGTGGGACACCGTTACCGCACGGTTACCGCACAGTTAACGGACCTGGCCTGCACAATTTTGGAGAACCAGTGGGACACTAGAATTTGCTTACAGTACGATTACGGTTACAGTAGTACAGTTCCGTCCGTTTCCCACTCATACGAAACTGACTCTATTACTTACATCATTTACATCATTTTTACATCATTTTTACATTAAATTTAGAGCGCGGTTTTTCCAGTGCTGGAACGCTGTACGTTATTTGTTTGTGTAAAGGTTTTATCATTTTTGATATTATCTAGATTTTATGTGTATTTTATCTTCATGTTTTAGTCAGTTTTGCTTTAACTTAGACAAAGCATATTGCCATTGATTGTCTTTTTTTAAACCCCTTTGGAAAATGTTTTATCTATTGACCATGAGAAACACTATACCGTGCCTGTCGTTTYCTAGGWTACGCTACCCATATGGTTGGTAAATGGCATCTTGGTTTCTATGAATGGGAGTACACGCCAACCTACCGGGGATTTGACACCTTCTACGGCTATTATAATGGTGCTGAGGACTATTATACCCACGAGAGAATGGGTATCTTGGATTTACGAGATCAAAAATCCATAGTTAAAGATATGCAGAATATTTACTCTCTCGATATATTTACAAAGGTACTTCCTCTCATTGAACTTTCCATTTAATGGCTTTCAAGTGACTTTTAAAAGCTCTTGATTAATTATAATATTAGCCTKGTCCAGCGTCMATCGCCAAATGCTTCATTTTTGCATGCTTCCCATAGATATGATTTCTTTAATTCTTAATGGAAATGTTGAACGATCGATAGTTGTAAAGAAACTATCATCACCCAGAAAAGAAACATGCATTGGAATTTTTTATTTTACAGAAAAAATGTCCTTTTACAACTTTGTAAATTGATTTTACAAGATATTTACAATATTGCTTAAGCAAAATTTACAAGATATTTACAGAATGTACATAAACTTCACAACTATACATTAATTTCAATCAACAGAAGGCAGAACAAATCATCAGCGATCATAACGCGTCTTCTCCTCTCTTCCTCTACCTACCATTTCAAAATGTCCACGCCCCCAACGAGGCGCCGGAATCATTTGTCAAACAATATGAATTTATTGAAGACAAAACCAGACGTATTTATGCTGGAATGGTTACCGCTGTGGATGAAGCCATTGGTAACGTAACAGATGCAATGAAAATGAAAGGGTAAGGGTGCACAGGGAATTAATGTATCTTTGGATTTCTTTTCGGTGGAATTAATACATGCAGGGAGAGGTGTGCGAGAATRGAGAACTACCTGCACWTGTTAATTTTCGCGCTATATTATGCATTTTTGTTTGATAAATTAATAAAGTGGTAATGTGCGATTTGCTTTCTCTAAGAAGAGCTTTGCTATCACCGTTAGAAATGTTGAAAAAATACAAGCTTAACGGAATCCGAGTTTCTTTGAAAATTACTGGASATTAATTGTTAATAGCCTTCCATGAATGGTATGTACACATGTGAATATTAGGTTATTACTTTACTTCATATGAAATTATACACTTATTTTTCACAGGCTTTGGAATGACACGTTGATGGTCTTCACGACAGACAATGGAGGCATACCCATATATGGAGGATATAACTGGCCTTTACGCGGAATGAAAGTGACACTCTGGGAGGGAGGAGTTCGTGGTGTAGGTTTTGTCCATGGATCAATGATTGAAAAGAAGGCTCGTAAATGTAATGAGCTCTTACACGTGACTGATTGGTTTCCCACTCTTTCAGCGATTGCAGGTTTACTTGTAATATCTTTAAAACATGCTTTCTGTTCATCAAAGAATTGTTGTCATTTAAACGGGAAACCTGTGTTTCTAAGTTTAGGCTTCCTTTGACAAATCTAATTATTGTATGAAAGAAACAAGATGGCCGATTGGTCTAAAGACTGATCTGTGCATCTTTGTATGACTTTCCCCTCACCTTATCTGAAAATGGCTGWCTATCCCTTGATGTCTCGTTTTCATGAAATTGTTCTTTTCTTGTAAAGTCACTCAAGCTCAAAGACAAAAGAATAATTTTATGAAAACGAGACATCGAGGGCTAGTCAGCCATTTTGGAATAATATGTATACTCCAATAATATCAAAATTTTAGCATAATTATAACTGCAACTGCAATTATACCTAACACGGATCAGCGCATGCTCATGCAAATTTCCCTCTTGCTGTTGCTGTCTTCATTTTTTTTTTTTTTTTTTTTTTTTTTGATGGATTACTTTCTATGCAGGGTTTCATGAGTTCGATAAAGACATCGATGGTTTCAATATCTGGGATACGATATCAAAAGGGGCTGCTTCCCCAAGAACAGAAATCCTGCACAATATCGACGTCAATGATTCTAGCACTGGTGGAATACCTTTGGGTCAGGGCATTGCTCTACGATCAGGACACATGAAGTTGATTATGCAAGTAATGAATTTCGCCTGGTTCAAACCTCCTGAGCTTTGGAAAAGTGACCGAGTAGATAGTGATGAATTCCCTGAGGTAAAGAGATGATTTTACAAAGCATCACAAACTGTATTTCTCTCTTTCTGATCTTAGCTAAACAGAAGGACCTTAAGTGCAAATTTGATAGTAATCCCGGTTTCGTGCTTGTCCCAATTATATATCATATAGCAAGGTTTCAGTGCAGAGGAGATATCAGTAGCATCCCTTTATGCTTTGCGCGCCTGGTTTGTTGACAAAATGGCTGCTATTTCCGGTGATATGCCGGGTAGTAAGTTTCGGGTACAGAAAATTGTCTTTTTTGNAAATTATACACTTATTTTTCACAGGCTTTGGAATGACACGTTGATGGTCTTCACGACAGACAATGGAGGCATACCCATATATGGAGGATATAACTGGCCTTTACGCGGAATGAAAGTGACACTCTGGGAGGGAGGAGTTCGTGGTGTAGGTTTTGTCCATGGATCAATGATTGAAAAGAAGGCTCGTAAATGTAATGAGCTCTTACACGTGACTGATTGGTTTCCCACTCTTTCAGCGATTGCAGGTTTACTTGTAATATCTTTAAAACATGCTTTCTGTTCATCAAAGAATTGTTGTCATTTAAACGGGAAACCTGTGTTTCTAAGTTTAGGCTTCCTTTGACAAATCTAATTATTGTATGAAAGAAACAAGATGGCCGATTGGTCTAAAGACTGATCTGTGCATCTTTGTATGACTTTCCCCTCACCTTATCTGAAAATGGCTGWCTATCCCTTGATGTCTCGTTTTCATGAAATTGTTCTTTTCTTGTAAAGTCACTCAAGCTCAAAGACAAAAGAATAATTTTATGAAAACGAGACATCGAGGGCTAGTCAGCCATTTTGGAATAATATGTATACTCCAATAATATCAAAATTTTAGCATAATTATAACTGCAACTGCAATTATACCTAACACGGATCAGCGCATGCTCATGCAAATTTCCCTCTTGCTGTTGCTGTCTTCATTTTTTTTTTTTTTTTTTTTTTTTTTGATGGATTACTTTCTATGCAGGGTTTCATGAGTTCGATAAAGACATCGATGGTTTCAATATCTGGGATACGATATCAAAAGGGGCTGCTTCCCCAAGAACAGAAATCCTGCACAATATCGACGTCAATGATTCTAGCACTGGTGGAATACCTTTGGGTCAGGGCATTGCTCTACGATCAGGACACATGAAGTTGATTATGCAAGTAATGAATTTCGCCTGGTTCAAACCTCCTGAGCTTTGGAAAAGTGACCGAGTAGATAGTGATGAATTCCCTGAGGTAAAGAGATGATTTTACAAAGCATCACAAACTGTATTTCTCTCTTTCTGATCTTAGCTAAACAGAAGGACCTTAAGTGCAAATTTGATAGTAATCCCGGTTTCGTGCTTGTCCCAATTATATATCATATAGCAAGGTTTCAGTGCAGAGGAGATATCAGTAGCATCCCTTTATGCTTTGCGCGCCTGGTTTGTTGACAAAATGGCTGCTATTTCCGGTGATATGCCGGGTAGTAAGTTTCSGGTMCAGAAAATTGTCTTTTTTGMATCTTAACAAGGGAAGTTCCGAAAATATTTGCTGTCTGATTGATTTTCTTTGTATTTCTCTTAATTTTTTGAATGYTTGTTTTAAGTATGAGAAAATTGCTGTTTTGTAGTGGACATTCGCGGTTTCAATTTAAGTTATATAACATGACGATCGGTTCAAAAAAGTGCTGTTTTTACACCTGTTCTTTGAGCAATTTAAGTTTTGTTTAAAAGTCAGATCTATAGAAAATAAGTCATATGAAGTTACAGTCAAAAAARTCTCAAGAAGTCTCCATGATTTCAAGTGCTAAACAGAGCTTGAAAACCCTTGAAATTTGCTAAGTTCATGAAAATCGCGTATCTTGATTAGGCGTATCAACGCTACCAGCGAGCTATGCTACAGTTTCTGCATTACAAATAAGTTAATCATAAAACACACTGAAATACGAGTGTCAAAGTACATATCAGTATATTTTTAAACCTCTTTTTGAACGATTTTCAATATAAAACATGTCTAAAAGAACAAACTCGTGTCACTGTAAAATGAGCACACTTACAAATCGCGCATTTGGTTTATTTTTTGGCATGCAGCAATGAAACTGAAAACACTACCCCATAAATGCAATTAAACAGAAAACAAATTATACAAACAAATGAACAAAGTAAGAACTGTTTATTTATCAAGCAATTTCTTTCAATGCATAAACAACAACGGTTTTTTAGCATCAAAGCCGGACTTCAATTCTAATCTAGTTCTAAGCTCATTTCTAAGTAATTTCAAACAATGAAAGAGTCTCTCACGTATTAACATCCGCTGGATGGCAAAAGTTCGGGCTCTGGGTACGAGATTGAGAGTTATATCTATATCGCCTCGTTCTAAATCTATCGCATCATTACCCAATGCATTTGTTTTTTAAATGTTGGAAATAAAAATACCGTTTTTTCTCTCTTTCAGGGATTTATCATTAAAGAAGCATTGTTCAACATTACCGCTGATCCAGAAGAACGAAATGACTTAAGTACTAAGCTCCCGGATGTCCTTGCTAGAATGAAGGCTCGCGTAGATTTTTACAAGAAAAGTATGGTCCCCAAGAGGAATCAACCTGCGGATCCAGAAGCTACAGCCACAGCTAAACAGAACGGTGCCTGGACACCTTGGCGTGGTAAAATAATTTACTGATCCTTTAGCCTAACCAGTCACGTGGTTTCAGAGATTTCTCTGGGTGTATTAGTCAAATGTCTTGTTTATCATATGACAAATTA